TGCCTCCCATCTATTCTCACAGGCTTTTTATCTCCCCGCCTCTGTGTTTGCACACACTGATCCCTCTGCCTGCAGTACGCACTCTCTCCCCCTTTCCGCAGCTCGGCAGCTGTCCTGCTTCCTCCCTGCGGCCTTCCTGACTGCCCGGCCACCTGAGCCCTGCCTTTTGTGATCTCCTGCTTTGCTGCTGGTCAAACCTTTCTATAAATCAGCACAACATCATACATGAGGCGTGGGCTTTGGCATCAGATCTGGGTTTGCACGCCAGCTCCACTGCTTGCCAGCTTTGTGACACTGGAGACAATAACTCACTGGATCATGACAAGGATCATATGAAGGACCCTCAGTAAAGCAACGAATTTCTTGTCTACCAAGTAGAATCCCAGTAAGAGTTCGAGTTCCTATTCCTTCTTTGTAGAGGTTCCTGGTAAATACTCAGTAATGAATTTTCTTATCCTCAATCAGTTGAAAGGAAAAATGCATCTTTCTGCTTAATCATGTGGGACTAAACTACCAGAAAATTACAAGAATATTGCTGAGCCATGAGCTGAGATGTAGAAAAAATACAACAAATCTCTATAATGATCTGGCCGCTTATTTTTAATGAAATCCTGCTGGTAGAGCTGAATCTTTGCCTTTGGAAAAAGCTCCGCTTTGCTGTTCTGGTGTCTCCGACTGCTGTGAGAAGGGCCTCGGGACAGTGTGACCTTGAGAACAGAGCTGTGTAGGGAGGACCACTGTCTCAGAGGCGGTAGAGGCTGGCGGGAGGGCAGGAGGGTCTCCGGGGAGCATCTCCTGCCCCTCCCACACGCCTGCCCTGTCTGAGCTGGCTGAACTCCCTGGCCCCTCTTGGGTCTCCCCTTGGCTACGGGCCAGGGGCGGTGCCCAGTCAGGTGACGGCTGCAGCTACCCTACTGCTTTGTGCTGAGACTGAGGGAGTGGCCATGTAGATGGGCTGTGCATGCTCACCTCCTCTAGCTTCCAGTACCTTCTCCTCAGGTAGGGGGTGAGCAAGGGGAAGCAGCCCTGAAGAGGGGAGAGGAGCTTGGCCCATGGCGGCCCTTCTACCAGCTCTGCTCCTCATGTGATGCCAGGCCAGAGCCTGGGTGACAGTATGCAGGGGGCTCCTTTTAATCAGCTCTGTCTCAGGGCTCTTGGGAGCCTCCCAGGGACCGTGTGGAGGCCGCCTTTCCTGTGTCCTTGTCAGACAGCATTGCCCGGGGTTTCCTCCGAGAGCTGCTCAGTGCCCTGCGTACTGATGAGTTCTGCCCTGGAGCCCTGGCGTCGAAGGTCAGGGTGGAGGCCCTGCAGTCAGATTTGTTCAAGTTGGGGGCTGGAGCAGGACACACCAACTATGTGCCCACAGTGAAGAGTGCAAATAAATGCCACAGGGATGAGCCATCGGAGGGAGGCCAAGCTGACAAATGCAGAAGGGGTGTGAGCCACGTTCTCCTGGCAGCCTTGGAAAGAGAATTGGGTGGTCGTGGGGAGCTCTGAGGCAGGGAAGAAGAGAAGTGAGGAAAATGGGCCTAGAGCAATAGTAAGAAGTTCCTTTTTGCAGCAAATCAGTAATGATCCAGTCATCCAGTCCAGGACTCAGTTGGGGTACTGGACCCCCAAGTGTGCGAACCTGCCCACCTTGGCTTTCCAAGCCCTCCTTGTGCCCCACAGGGCACCTCAGTGTCTAGTTTCTGACCTTCCAGATCAGGCCCAGCACCATCCGAGGCGGGAGAGGCCTCATCTGCAGCTGGTCCCAAGGAAGAGGGGCCTTCGCTTGGCAGGGGCTGTTCCCGGGAACTCCATGACATCCACGTTGATGACAGTAATGACCTGGCAGGATCCTGTAAACCCAGCTTAACCCAAAGGGTCAGAAATAGGGACTCCACTCTCCAGGCAGCCTGATCCTGACCCCACTTGGCTCTGGCCTGGGGCAAGTAGCTGTCGACTCCTTTCCCCCTTGTATAAAGTGGGGATCATGTGAATACCCGCCTGTGAGTTGAGGACTAAACAGGCTGATGCTAAGGGCTCAGTACAGCATTACTGCAGGCGTGGAACCCTGCGCACTTCACGCAGCAGGTGTCCCGACTCCTCTGTTTACTCCTGTCATGTAATCTGTGCCTGGCACAGCCCCTGCTGCGTGCCTGGAACATGGCCTGCAAATACACCTGTTGCCTACGATGGTTATTGTGGGAATGTTCAGAAAATATTGGCTGTGGCCGGGGCCCCACACCTGTTCCCCCTGCGTAGTCCCAGGCCCTGGGAGGCTCAGGAGGGGCTCACAGTCCCCTCTGCCCAGGGCCGCTGGAGACAGACAACCGTGGTGGGAAAGCAGGGAAGCCAGCGCCAAGAGTTCTCCATTGTGCTTGTCCCCAATTCTTGGGACTTCGTTGGAATTTTCTCCTTCTACCCTGCAAGCCTGCACTAGCCCACTGCCAGTGGCCGGTGTCCCAAGAAGGGGTGACTTGGCATTAGAAACCCTTGTAGGGATTTCTAAGTTCTCAGCTACTCCGTGAACCTCCTGTTCTTGTGTGGCTTTCTGTGATTCCACCATCTCTCCTGTGTGTCTGCTCAGCTGCCCCAGGGAAAAACCCGTTGGGATCCCTGCTCCCTGAGCTTTCCCTACAGGACTGAGATGCTGAGTGTCGCTACCGAGGGGAGTTACCAGCAGGCTCTCTCTCTGCCTCTCTTCCTCGGGGAGGCCGGAACTTTCCACTGTCCCTTGGAAAAGGAGGAAGCTGTGTTCTCTCCAGTTTCGTCTACCTCTTGCTGGCTCAGTGTTGCCCCACTTCTTACTCGGGCCGGGGCGGGGTCCCCTTAGCAGTTCCCAGCCAGGTCCTTCTGTGTGGGGAGCCCCCTACTTCTCACCTTCCTGTGAAATTTAAGGGGAGATTTAAAGGAATTGGAAAGCACTTTGTAGATTAAATGTCCATCAAGAGCTTTTCAAAGGACAGTTTGCAGGTAGAATTAGAAGAGACCTTGGGTGCATTACTGCTCACCCCCAAGATGTTGTTCTAGAAACGTGGCTATTCTGACACCTGCTGGTTACTGTGATCCATCCTGACACTACCCACCCGCAGTTGGCGCCAGACTCCTCAGGTTTAAGGGCACAGACCCCAACAAGACTGCCCCCAGCTTCAGGTGCCAGCCACATGGGGGGTCCCCAAGGATGCCCCACTTCTGACCAACTGGCTACAAATCCAAGGGCTCCTATAACCCTCCTCCCGTACCATAATTCGCCAGAGCAACTCATAAAACTCAGGAAACTGCTCTACTTAAGATTACAGTTTTAATGTAAAGGATACAGATCAGGAATAGCCAAATGAAGAGACATCATGGGCAAGGTAAATACAATAGTGGTGATTTGCCGTTGTTTTTTAATCAGATATTCTGGAAACTGCCACAGCCATATCAGTTATCTGTTACCTCCTTCCAGTTTTAAGCATTTCCCATGTACCTGGCACTTTTATTACCTTATTTCATTTCTATTACTGCCCTGTGAAGTCTTTGATGTTATTAGGTCCACTTTTAAATGAGGCATTGAGGGCCAGAGGGGCAGGGACCACCTCAAAATGAAGCAGCTAACCAGCACCCCAGCTAGGATTTGAATCCAGCTAACTAACTCCGGGTCAAAGATGGAGCCGCCTAAACTTGCCCCAAACTCAGCCCATCACATGTTCCTTCTGGCTAGAAGACAGCTGTCTCTCCGTTACCAGTGTTGGCTGTCAGGAGGTGGCTACACTTGTCTTTGATATGTCGCACCACTGAGTCTTCCAAACCGGAAAAGGACCTGTCTCAGAGGAGCCCCAGTGGGTTGTCCTGCTCCATTCAGGCAGTGTCCGGCCACCCCACCAGGCCCCGAGCCTGTGGACACTCCATCTGAGAATCGGAAACAGGCAGAATGGAGAACTCTCTGGCGCCGGCTCTCCTGCATGGTTTCCTACCATGGTTGCCTGCCCGTGGTAGCCCGGAGCAGAAGGGACTGTGAGCCTAGCTCAGCAGGGCCAGTCCCTTCTGAGCCTCCCAGGGCCATGGCAGACTCGGTGGGACAGTGTAGAAAAGCACTCCGTGCTGGAACTGACTTAACAGATCTTGCTTTATCACCCTTGCTCCCCTCCCAGATGACAAAAATGCTACTGTAGGCATTCCTGCCACTGCCAGGCCCCAGGGGACCTGCACGGGGTTAGGTCAGAAGCCAAGCCCTGCAGTTTGGGAAATTAGTAGCACTCATGGGATTCCCAAGTAACTTTCTGGTTCTCTTAACCAGAGCCGTGGTTCTCAGTTGGGGTGTTACTGCCTCTAAGAAGGCATTTGCAATATCAGAGGAGGCGGGGGGAGGGGCGGCGGCGGTGGTGGTCCAGAGTTGTCCCAATGTTAGGATCTTGCTGGAATTTACCCAGTGAGGTCCACTACTGCTAACCATCCTACAAGGGGCTGGACAGTCAGGCACACTCCACAAAAAATAGTCCTGCCCATGAGAGACACTGGGGAATGTCCCATTTGCTTCCCCTGCCTCCTGGTTCCTTAAAAAGCTGCCTCCCTCAGCAGACTCCAGGCTGAGTGAATGGGAACTAAACAGCCTGCGTCCAGTGCAGCCTGTGGCCAATGACGAGGTTGTATTTCCAGGTGAACGTGGGCCGGTGTGGGAGGAGCATCTGTCTGCCACCCGCTAGCACGGATTCTTCAATAGTGGCTCTTGCATCGGTTAGGCTGTTGTGGGTCGAGAAAGACCTGGATTTGGGTGGTGAGGATTCACAGGGCAGGGTGAGGCCTCCTCTTGGGAGTCCTGGCAAGAACTCCCCTGTGGCCTACCGGGTGCAGACTCAGCCACCTTGCTCTGGGTCCCTCTCCCTGCTCTGCCTTTTATTGTATTTCTGTGTCCGCATTTCATCTTTCCCTCTGGGTTTTTTTGTTTTATTTTCAGTTTTCTTCACATGAACTGTGTTTAGAGGACACTAGCTCAGATGCTGTGGCTGAACCCCTCTCTTCTTGTTGTTTTGCAGTCGGGAAGACGTCTCTGATCACGAGGTTCATGTATGACAGCTTCGACAACACGTACCAGGTGAGGTCCTGGGTGCCCTGTTCCCTCATCACCCATGGTGACTGCAGCCATGACAGTTGCCTGGAGACCACGGTGGCCCCTCACTGACATGAGAGCAGGGTGTTCCTGGGGCCCGGGGCCTTTGTTTTGCCTTGAAGAAGCTTCCCATCTGTGCCCTGGCCCCAGCCTAGTAAAGACCCTGAGCCCTTCTGAAGATCCAAACCTTGGCAAAGGAACATTTTCCAGCAGAGAAAGGACATGTTTCAATCTGTGTCATCTTGCTGCCCATGGGCAGGTCTAACCATTAAAATGTTTGGTTACTTGGGTGGGTCGTCACGCGGAATAGGAGTGAGAAGATGCAAAATAATGGAGGGGAAAGAGCAGTAGTAGAACTTGCCCCTTGAGCATGGTTATGTTTGCTGGACCTCACGCATGTGCATCCTCCTACGCTCAGACACACACATCCGTGCACACCCAGATGCTGAGGCACTTCCTTCCCTGGAGAGGTTGATGTGATGGGCGGGGGGGCTGGGGGGAGCGACATTTGGCTCCTCACTCTCAGGGTGGTCTTGGGTCAACCAGTGGCCCAGAGATGGCTTCAGATGGCCCAAAGGCTGAGCTCTTGAGGGTCAGTAACATTTCAGTTTCCTGACACCGCTGGTGTGTGAGAGGTTTGTACCAAGGAAGGGAATTTTCCCTGCAGCTATAGCTTTCTACAAAAGGTACCAACTTTAACCATTTTGACTATTTTTAAGAAAAAAGATACTGTTTTCTTCCCTAAAACAGAGACAAATGAAATTGCATTTTTCTAAGCCAGTGGGTTCTTTGAGGTACCGGTTCCAAGGGATAAGTGGTGTTTGAGAGAAAAAGGCAGGAAGGAAGGTTTAGTACTTGTATAGATTTAGTGAACACTGGTGAACCGAAGTAAATCAGCTTTTCTATCGCAGACCTTCTGAGGGCCTTTCCTGCATCAGTGTATGGGTTTGTGCCGAAAGGGGGGTGTAATATGTGGGAGCTCCCAGAGGTACCTGGCCGTGGAATCTTCTTGTCACCAAGTCCTCAGGGGAGAGATATTTATAGAACACACTGGGACGGCTGTGCTGAAGTCCCTCCGCCTCCCTGGGCTGGCCGAGGCGGCGGAGCTCACGGCGGGTTCCAGTTCTGTGTCTTCAGTCTGCGTCCTCCTCTGGACCAGTCATCATCTCTGCCCCATAGACAGCGCCTCTCACTGCCTCTCTCTAACTTCCTCTTCCTCTGCTCTTGTCTGAAATGCCAGATAACTAGTGGACTTGGTAGGATCTGACGCAAGGCTCAGAGCCTGAGTCTCCGGGAGAGGAGCCCTGGGGCATGTGCGCAGGCCTGGGCACTGGTTTTGGGAAGGTGTTCTCAGCCTCACTGTCCTCGCTGTGTCCTCCAGGCTGGGGCTTTGTGCCACCACAGCCTTACCAAAGGCCTCACCTCCCCATAAGGGGAGTTGTGCTGCATGCATTTGGGATTCCAGTCTAGCAGGCTGCAGTTCTAGAGTCTGACTTCGTGTTCTGTGTGTGTGTGCACACACACATGTGAGAGAGAGAGATTTCATGGATGTTATTTTAATTATTTGATGTTTTTGAATATCAAGATATATATTTATAATGCCTCTTGCTGGTGTCCTGATGGCACAGTGAGACTCTCATCTGGTTGGTGTTCTTGGCAGTGGCGGATGGTAATGGGGACCTTAGGCCTTTGCAGTGACCCTCCTTGGCATGGATCAGCTCCTCCCCACGGTGTGTGAGTCCCTCAGAATCTTAGCCCACTGCCATCTCCAGTGTCATTTCCCATTGCTCACTGCTTGTCCCATATCCCATGGTCCAGTTGGCCTGCTGCTCCCCGCACACTGACACTGTGGGAGCTCTGCACCGTGGCTCACGGTATTGCCGCTGCTGGAATGCCCTTCCTTCTCCTTTGCTGTGAAATGTTCTTCTGACTCATCAAGGCTCAGAGCACAAGTGTGCCGGTACTCCACCGCCCTCCATGCCTCCCTGTCTCCAGCACATTGTCCTAGGGACCCATTTAGCCTTCGGACTCCATGGGAACTCCTGTGGGCTCTGGGCTTGGCTGAGGCCACAACCCCTCGGATCCACCACTGTACTAGTCAGCTGAGCACAGGGCCCGGCCACGGCTGCTGTCAACTGCCTGCTGATAGCAGCGTGGCTTGGAGAGGCCGCTGTCTGCCTTGGCTCTAGACCCCACATGACCGAGAGGCCACAGAGGCCCTACGTCAGTGTGGTGAGAAGGGAAGAAAGCCCACAGGGAAGCGAGTGCCCCACTGCAGGTTTCTCTCTCCCTTTTTCTTTTTCAACCGGCAGAGTTTCTTTCCCAATACCCTTTAAAATGGTAATTAGGCTAGGAGACGGGCCTCCAGTTGTGTGCATACACAGGCCCATCTTAATGAGGTCTCTAGGGATAAAAAGGGGGAAATGCTATTTTGTTTGTTTCTCTTAACAAAGTAGATAAGATCTCCAAGGGCCCTGGGGGATGCCCCTCGCTGCCCCCTGGTTGACTGCTCCTAACCACCCCCCACCCACATCCTGCACGTCGGCCAGTACAGCCCAGGCGCCCGCTGCCACCCCACCTCACTTAGCTGAGGCACCTAGACGGTTCCCAGGACCAGTCACCCCTCCCTCCTTCCCATCCTTCCTGCGTGCCCCTGGCTCTGTCATGTCCCCTGTCCCCTCCCTCATTCGCTCATTCTGACAACAGATGTCTGTCAAGTGCTTGCTTGTTTGGAGGGACAGCAGGAGAAGAGGACCTGGTCACAGAGCCTTGTCCCCCCCTTAGCCTTGCATGGAGGGCAGAGGGGTTTGACCTCATCTGGGTGGCAGTCGGCACATCCTCCCCCTGCCTGGAGTTGACCATGCCTGAGGCCCTGAGGGGCTGGCGTGAGGACCCGTGCAGAGCTGGGTTTCCCAGTTAGACCTCTCGGGGGTCCTGTCCACCTGGCAGGCCCTGGGGAGATGCCCCCTTGTCAGCCTGTGGGGCCCTGGGGAGCAGCTGTGCTGCTGCCCCCTGCCTGGCACTCCCTCCTACACATGCACACCCGGTCCCCCCCTGGCACATGCATTCCCCAGCCTCACCCTCCTACTCCCCACCCCATCTAAATCCACAAGTCTCTTGCATAAAGCCCCAACTAAGAAATTACTTTCAAAATTTGCTATAGAAGAAACCCTCTGGTACCTGCACTGTGATGAGACCTGACCCTCTGTGTGTCCCAGGCTCCCTCCCCTCCCATAGGCCAGTGAAACATACCTGCAGGCCTGGTCCTTGGACCGCCTGCTTGTAATGCACTAGGGCCATAGTGGGTGGTCTCAGGCCTCTGCAGGTGGCTGCTGGGAGTGAGGGGGGCGGGGATTTGGATGCAGCGCTCTTTTGGGGTTTCTCATGGGTCGCTCATGAGTCCTCTATCTTGGCTGCCTGGGGGTGTGGCTGAGAGATTCACAGGCCCTTTCAGACATTAGCATTTTTAAAGTCTCACCGGTCATTGAGATGAACTTAGAGCCAAGGCTGGAACCACTGGCCTGCCCTTGGACCACCCACCACAGCACAAGTTGGGAAAGGAGCCCAATGGGCTGCTTCCAGGAGAGGGTCTGACCTGCTGGAACCTACCCAGCTGCTGCCCAGAGTGGAGGAGCGTTGCTGAGCACTGTGGAGCTGCGCCGGCCCTGGGGCACTTCGGGGGTCCCATGGAGCCTCTGGGAACGGAGGAGGAGAATGGCTAAGTCCACCGGCTGAGTCCACCGATCCCTCACAGGCGAGGGGTTGCCTGAGGAGCTCTCACCCCTCGGCAATCTGCCTGCTCTCCCCAAGGCTTTCCTCTCTGACCTCCTGGGTCTCTGTTACTTTCCTGGGGCTGCCATAAGAAATTACCACAAACCGAGTGGCGGAAAACAGCAGAAATTATTCTCTCACAATTCTGGAGACCAGAAGTCTGGAGTCAAGATGTGGCAGAGCCACACTGCCTCCAAAGGCTCTCGGACAGAGTTCCTCCTTGCAACTCCCAGCTTCTGGGGGCTGTGGGTGCCCCTTGGTGTCGGGCTGCAGAGCCCTGCCGTCTGCCTGCATCTTCACATGGCCTTCTCTTCATGTCTCTCTGTGTCCTCTTCTCTACTTACACGGACACCAAGCTCCGGGTTTAGGGGGGCCGATCCTAAATCCATGATGGTTTTTCATCATAAGATCCTTAACTACTTACATCCACAAAGATCCTTTTTCCAAGAACATCACATTCTGAGGTTCTAGGTGGACAGAAGTTTGGGGAACCCTCCTCAACCCACTGCTGGGCCCTAGCACCTCCCAGCTGGATCCCATTGGGGACCACACTCTCTGGCCCAGGAGTTGAGATGCTCTGTTCCCACCTCACCTCCCAGCATCGGCGCCTCCAGGCTCCCAGGCCCCTCTGCCCCATCATGTGCTGCATCAGACTGGGGAAGCCATTTCTCCAGGACCATATCTCTGTAGCATGTTGTTTTGTTCTTCCAAGGTTTTTTTTGTGTGTTTGTTTTAAAATATGTTTATTGATCTTAGAGAGGAAGGGAGAGAAAGAGAAAGACTCAGGCATGTAGTCCGGGGGTTGCCAGGCTTGGGCAGCCAAGCCCCACACCTAAAATGCCCCATGTTGCCTTTGCTGGTGGCCCTGAAGAGGGGTTCACTGAGGAAAAAGGACCTGGGTACAGGTCAAGCCTGAACATCCTCCTTGAACACACATGCACACACTCATGCATGCTGGTCTCTTCCCCCCCTGCTATGGGCCAGGGAACAGGAAAGGTATGGGGCCTTTGGATAGAAGATGCTGAGCACTTTTTTGTTGGTGAGCCATTGTAAGGAAATGGATGAGCCTTCATGGAGCCCACAGCGTGGAGAGACAACCAGGAGAGAGGGGTCCCTCACATGGGTGTGGGGAGCTGCCTCGTGCTTCACCTTGAAGAGGAGATGCGGTTAAACAAGAGACAGTGGGCCAGTGCACAGGGTCCAGGGGCAAAATG